GGTCATTTATAATTCACTTTAGCTGTGAGCTCTTAACTATATGCTCCGAAAATTCTGCTTCGGCAGTATTACTCAAAGACCTTAGGCGCTTGCCAACCAAATGAGCTATTTTCACGTTTCTGCAGAAGCAAAAATGTCGTAAAAATATCAATTTTGCCGAAATGGGTCATTTCTGAAGCGGTTTTCGAAAGCACGCGCGTCTTCCGCGCACAGCTGATTTAAAGAAGCTTCAAGGTCGCCCGGTTTAACAAATTCACGCTTAGCATTAGTCATCGATTTGATATTTCGTTAATTTAGGCGAAGTCGGGTTTTGCCTTGCAGTGACCGGAAATCAGCGGTCTGGCGATTGGAACTAAATTATTGAAGCGTAATCATTTGGACACTCCAACTTGGGGTCTGATTGGATAGATTTGAGTAGTTGTGACTGGTCACGCATGTGTGCACCAATCAAGTGTGAGGTGTAATTTGTGGGCAGATGCTGGCGCCCGATTTCAATGGCTAGTAAGACATATTTTTTTAAATACTACCTTTCCGGTCTCCTAAATTATAATTTTTCAGGCCTGTCCCACAATTTACGGCAAAATGCGATGCAAAGAGCCCCAAATTCCTATTGTACCGATTGGCCGTTTTCTGGTTCAATCTCATTTTTCATTGGCTAAAATACCTTTGTTTCTGAATTTTGCCCAATCGTAGTCAAGACCGCAATTATGCATTCATGTTTATCATTATTAACTATGAGTGAGAATTCAACACAATTTGTTCTCACAAAGAAGCTAGTACACTGTTAATCTTAAAGTAATTGGATAATCACGCGAGGCTTTACTTGGCAATGACCTTGGCGTGAGAAGGCATCTTTGTCCCTCGTCACTATGGCAACCGATGAATTCATTCAGACGCTGATTTATGCGTCAGCAACAATAATAAATACCACTACAGCAGAAACACAAACCAATATGCCAGCAGCTACAGATTTCGGGGTAATTGTTTAAAACCCTGTGCGTCCGGTTGCCTAGGCAACTGAAAACTCTGATGCATCATGCCACCTGAGTATAAATCATGGAAGTAGGTTACTAGTTTTAAGTTCTATCAACTAAAACTGCAACCACTTCACAAATCTTTGAAAACATAGGTCAATTATATGCCAAAATCTGCGGCCCAATCATTTTCTTCCTCACTGTTTGTAAACACCAATCAAATACCAGGATGACATGCAAGACAAACAAACTCAATATTCATGGCTACTGTGTACAAGGTATCCTCAGTCAATGATAACAGAATAGACAGCTTTTTTGTTATTACAACATTCTTTTCCTCTAACGATACCTTGTCACGAATGTTGCTAAGAGATAAATGTTATTCAACAAGCTAAACTACAAATTTGATTGACCGTAATTCACATTTAGGCAAATCTTGTTTGGAGAATTCCAATTAAAACAAATTGTTGAGTATCACTGAATTATTTTTTTTCAAAAAAGAAGAATTTCAATCATCTCAACTTACTGATTTGCCTTGAAACCGGAGATTTTTCGTAGGGCCAACGACTGTGGCGGTAGCCGAGTTTGTAGTCATCTCTTTGGCTGTGGCCCCTTGGAAACAAGCTGAGAAGTACCCAAATAGCCCACATTGTTTCACTCCACGACCTTCAAAAATTTTACAATGACAAGGACGCGGTAAATGATAACATCAGTGTTTTTTGCGTCAACTGGCCAGTCGACGTCTTCGTAAATACAAATGCTCAGTTTGTGTATCAAATAAATTCAAGAAAATCAATACAAATAGTTTTTAGATTTGTACAAGTGGGCTAAATGTAGATTAACCAAGGGGCTGCTCGATTTCGGATTGGTTGGAGCTTATTAAAACAAAAAAAACTTACGCATGATCTTGCCAGTTTGAATTTCCGGTTCGACTTTAAGCGATTTCGTGTACGCAATTTTACACTAGCATTTAAAACAAGCAACTAAAATTGTGGAATATGTAAACGATGCCAATTTAGGTCTTTCTGTTAACTGACCAATTAAATGAACCTCATTATTTCTGCGTTTAGTGTTTGATAGGTGTCCTGTCTCTTATTTTGTTTGTTTAAATAGCTGCTGTGAGGTGAAGAATGAACCTGCAACTACAAAACAGCGCTACTTTTAAAATCGTGTTTGGGTAAATTAGCGATCCCCAGGGTCCAATGAAATTAAAGTAGTCAAGCAATGTACATTTATGCTACTTTTTTCTGTCCCTTTGCGCCATTTTTGCATTCATATAAACTGCCCCCATTCTATTGGATCACAATGCTAATCGATATTTTGCAGAGCTACCTCAAAAATTCAGCAATTTAAAAATCAACGTGTACATTAAAACGCAAACACGTTGAGTGTGGTGAAAGTACAATTTTCCCTCAACAATGAATGATTGAAACACACTTTCTTCAAAATTTATTAAAATAAACAAATTATTAACCCTTATCCTCGATGTAGTAACAGTTTATTTGTGTGCTAATGGTCAAAATGTCAAAAGTGCAAACTCAGAAATACCAGGAAATCGTGGGTTA